CTCCCCTCCTGTGTTTTGTGAAAAGACTGCTCTGCCTTCACTCCTTACTGATGCAACTTGGATATAAAAGGACAAATTTTTTAGACTCCATTTCTCTTTCTTCTCTTTATTCTAACACTCTCCTTCTTCAAAGATAGTTCAGATTTGCATCACAAGTTATAATAAGTTTATGGCATTCAAGTTTGCATTTTGTGGTAGTTTAGTACAACTGTAGCATCAAATGCCTGCATATTTTGGCAGGCTTCCGGTTGGTTTGAATTGGACCCATATGACAAACTGCAAAACATCCTCATAACATCTGTTTGTACTGTGACTCTCCCTGGAGCAATTGTCATTTTTTGTCTCTGTAAATAATTAATTTAAAATTATATAATGAGATCATCAAGACTTGTCAAGTCTTCTCTTCCAACTTCCCTCTCATCCATCCCTTCTTTCCTATTGTCCCTTCTGCAATGATAAATGGCATGAGCAGATTATTGTACAGACTCCTAACTCGGCCTCCATATAGTATTTCCCAAGTCCATGGTGTTGTTAAAACAATTTCCCTAAATTATATCCTTGCACACCACATTTCTTCATTTAAAACAAAGCCAAAAACAAATCAACCCTTCAATAACTCCCTATCTGCCAAATAAAAAGTTCAGTTTAGGACCTTTCATAAGCTGGCTGCAGTCTAATTTTCACACTCTAAGGGTCCTATTCCCTTTCACTCCACCAAACAAGCCTGCCTGCTGACTAACTGCATTGCTTTTCCAAACACATACCCCTCCTTGGTCTGCTTCTGCTGGCACTGCTCACCTCCCCAGGTTGCCCTCTGCCTATTCAAGTGTGACTTGTCCTTCAAAGGCAAATTTAAACTTCCTCTCTTGATTGCCTATCAAAGCTAGAAATGTTCTCTCATAGCTAGTGTTTTACAAGTAGCTCACTTGGTATTTCTTTGATGCCTGCTATTGCTATCCAGCTTTGTCTGTGGTTGTTTCACTAACTTGTGAAACTTGTTTCACTAACTGAGAGCACAAAATGGATTATCTGGTGACCTTCTGCCACTTCTTTGTCCTTTGCACAGCAGCAATCAATCTATGTTTGACTGAACAACTGGTTAAAGATATTATTCATTCACTTATTCACCAAATACTTATTAAGTACCTAATATGTGCCAAAAGGGGGAGTGTATTCGATGGCAGTGGGTTTGGTTTTTGGTTTAATATGTGCTTGCTGTTGTTGTCAGGTGCCGCTGAGTTGGTTCCGACTCTTAGCTGAATAGGGTTTCTGAGGAGCGGCTGGTAAGCTTGAACCACTGATCTTGCAGCGGTTCAGGCTGACCTTGAAGTCCAGCACAGCTCCACACCAGGATATATACAATTAGAACCTTCCAAATCTGGTGGTTGATAAGGAGTATACGGTAGGAGCGGAAATTGCAACCTTTAAATAGAATCATCAGTAAACTTGGCCTCACTGAGAAAGTGACATCTGTGCCTAGTCTTGAATGAGGTGACAGCATGCGCCTATCTGGGAGAACAGTTCAGATAGGGAGAATAAGTACTAAGACCAGGAGACAAGAGTATATCTGGTATATTCAGGGTAAAGGAAAGGGCAATGTAGAGAGGCGAGGGAAAGGAGACAGCAGATAAACCATAAGAGCTAAACTGTGGAAAGCTTGGTAAACCGTTATTGATCTCTAGCGCACTAGGGAGCCAATGGCACACTGTGAGCAGCGGGGGGACATGATCTGATTCTTGTCTGAAAGGATCTGTTCGGAAGCTCACTGAGAATGGATGGGACATGTGTGAAGCCATAAAGACAGTAAGAAGGCACGAATCAGGTGAGAGGTGATGGGAAATTGGATCAGGAAGGTCCACTTCTTACTGTAAGAGTAAGAAGTGATCCAATGCTGAATATATTTTGAAGACAGGGCTGCTGGGTTTTGCTGATGGATTAAATTTGGGGTATAAGAAAAGAGAGTTAACAGGTGACTTCAAGGTTGGATGTGGCTGTCATTTACTGGGATGAAGATAACTTCGCAGGGAATAGGTATTAAAATTTGAGAGCTGTCAGTGAGCAGATGGTATTGAACACCTTGAGAATCGATGAAGTCACAGGAGTGTAGAGAGAGTGGAGACATAAGGACGAAGCCCTAAGGTAGCCCAACACAGAAAAGATGAGGAGAAAACAGCACAGGAGACTGAGAAAGAGCAGCCAATAAGGTGGGAAGAAAACAGTCATGATAATATGTTAAGAACACACTGTGTGCTTGGGAAAACAATTCAGCTCTGAGAAGCACTGTAGGATAGACACTGGACTGCTGACCATAGGTCAGCAGTTCAAGACTACCAGCTATTCCAAAGAAGAAAGATGATACTTTCTACTTCGGCAAAGATTTACAGCCTCAGAAACCCTATACAAAGTAGCTATGAGTCTAAATCAACTTGATGACATTTAACAACAACAATAACATGCCAGACAAAGGAGTCCTGGTGTAGTACTGTGGGATAATCACTGGACTGCTAACCCCAAGGACAGTGGTTCAAACCTACCATATACAGGATTGTTATTTTGTTTTTGTTTTTTTGCCTATGCCTTCAGTGCAGATTGGATACTTCTTTTAATATCATAAGTTCTTGATCATACAGGGTTGTTCTGAGCTGGAACCAACTCAATGGCACTAAAAATAACAACAAAAAATGGCAGACTAAAAGAGAGATGTGATTTTCTCCACTCAGTATGGTAATTATGGTTAGGTAGACTCTAGGCTTTTGGTTGGAGCAGAGAGTACTAAGATAAGCAAGGACAGAATACAATCTTCCATATTCTGTAAGTTGCTGTTGTTGTTATTAAGTGCCGTAAAGTCAGTTCTGACTCATAATGATCCTGTGAAGGATTTCTGAAGCTATAAATCTTCGCATGAACAGAAAGTGTCATCTTTTTCCTGTGCAATGGTTGTGGGTTCAAACTGCTGACTTTGTGGTTCGCAGTCCAGTGCTTATACTACATTATCTACTGCTCTCCAATTTCTTTATGGTGGTGTTAGTGGTCGTGTGCTGTTGAGTCAATTCCTACTCAGAGTGATTCTGTACATGGTTTCCAAGGCTGCAAACCTTCATGGGAGCAGAAAGCCTCATCTCTCTCTCCTGCTGAACTGCTGACTATGCAGTTAGCAGCCCAGCTTGTAACCTCCTATGCTACCAAGGTTCCTTGCTTTCTATATAAGCAAAAGTAAAACTTTAATAACACAATATTGAATGAGTTATGTCTTATACCAAAAATGGAAGGAAAAATAGAAAATGATAATCAAATTTGATCAGTTTTTTACCCTTAACTAAACCAGAGATATTTGTGCCAGAGAATTATTTGTTGTGGGGAGAATCCTATGCATTTTAGGATGTTTAGCAGTGACGCTGTGAGTTAATGCACTGGTTTGAACTGCAAGGTCGGCATTTCAAGCTCACCAGTTGTTCCTCGGAAACCCTATACAGGGTCGTTATGAGTCGAAGTCCACTCTAGGGCACTTAACAACAAGAAGCCGTATCCGCAGCCTCCACTACTAGATGTCAGTAACACACACACAGTATAACAACCAAAAGTGTCTCGAGACATTGCAAAATGGGCGGCAAAATCACTCCCAGTTGAGATACACTGAAGTGCCAACAAAAGTCAGTTCCCAAGTATAATTTAAGGATCCTCTCTGCCAAATGCAACGGTTAAATGCTGCAATTAGCTCACCCTATCGTAAAAAATTTACTTCTGATTTTTCAATACTGTTGTTGTTGTTATGTGCCATCGAGTCGGTTCCGACCCATAGCGACCCTGTA